CTTTTTTTAATATTTTTTAATGTTTATTTACTTTTGAGAGAGAAAAGAAGACAGGGCATCAGTGAAGGAGGGGCAGGGGCAGAGAGAGAGCGAGGTACAGAATCCAAAGCAGGCTCCAGACCCTGAGCCATCAGCTTAGAGCCCACTGTGGAGCTTGAGCTCACAAACCGTGAGATCATGACCTGAGCTGAAGTCAGATGCTTAACTGCCTGAGCCACCCAGGCTCTCCAAGATCTGGAAGAATTTTAACTCCATAATCCTCAGTTTCCTCATTCATAAAATGTAGGTAACTGTAGCTATCTCATAAAATGTTTATGAGGATTAAATGAAATATTACATGTAAAGCTCTTCCAGTACTGCTTAAGAGTAGTAAATATTTAATTGCTACTAATGATCACCCTTATGGTTATTAATGTAAATATTTTTAATGTACATAGAATGGATTAAGGACTTGAATGGGTATTCCACACAAGAAAAATTTGGGCCAAAAGCATATGAAAAGGTAATCAACTTAAATCGACAGTAAGGAAAATTTATTTTAACAATTGTGAACACTGCATTTTTTCAACTTAATGCTTTTATTTAAAGTATAGTTTAACCAAAGTAAAATAACATAATCAGTTTGAGAGCTTAAAGTTACTTAAGGGAAACTTTAAGCATATATCCTCTGAAATATCTTTTGGAGAAATTTAATAAAAAAAGGACGAATCCTTTAAAACGCTTGAGGCTCTTTGAGGAGTGATTGTGAGGCAGAAACCATAAGTGGAATTCCAGAGAGTGCTCTTTGCTGACATAGTACAAGAGCTGCCAGAATGAATGCATTGTGATAGAGCTGGAAACATCTGTGAATTCTGCACCAGGACTTTTAAATGTTATATCTTCATCAGAGTTGACTGACTCCTCTGGTGAAGCAGATGGTGCTGGCTCACAAGATTAAGGCTCCAAGCAAGGATACCATTGCATAATTATGAGAATGGTGAAATTCAAAAGACTGCCAAGGGCTGGTGTTGCTGTGGAATGTTGGTAAAGATGTGGAGTAACTGGAACTCTGAAATGTTACTGGTAGAAGTGCAAAATGGTACCATGGTGTATACAATTTATCAATACAATTGGGTGGTCTTAATCCTAGTATTTACTCAAAAGATATAATCACACATGTCTATGAAAAGAATTGTTCTCAAAAGTTCATAGCAGTTTCATTCATAAAAACTCAAATGCCAGCAATTAGTAAGTAGACAAATTGTGGTCTACTATTCATTTCAATACTATTTAGCAAAAGGTGACAAACCACTATATGGGAACAAATTGTTGGATCTCAACAAGTATTGCAATAAGTGAAGGAAGCTTGATGTAAAAGAGTACTTTTAAGTTCTATTTGTACGAAATTTTAGAAAATGTAAGCTAAGTGATAAAAAGCCGATTATTGTCTTTTAATAGGGATATATGTCAGTGTAAAAGTAGATAAACGCAAAAGGGAACTTTTTGAAGTAATGGAAAATTTCTGTATCATGTTCGTGAAAATAGTTATTATATACCTTTGTCAAAACTTTGGTACACTTAAAACTGATGAATTTTGTGGTATGTAAATAATATCTCAAAAAAATCTATAAGTAGTAGAATTTTTTACAGACTCAAGTATCTCAGCACTTATATTTTCTGAATTTAAAATGTTATAATCCACAGAAATAGTCACAAAATTTAAATGAGTAACTTAAAATTCAACTTTGGAGATTTAGGGCAACTTTATTTTTTAAAATAATAATATAATAAGCCCTGACAGGAAAAGAAAAAAACATTTCTCAGAAAAACATCAGTGACAGAGTATTAAAGACCAGTATGACTCAGAAGCTGATTCTCTGATATATGAATATGTGTATGTACTTTGTGTGTGTGTGTGTGTGTGTGTGTGAGAGAGAGAGAGAGTACTTTCTGCTGCTTAGGAAATTTACGTATTTAAATTTGTTGTGCATATTTTGTTTTTTTCTTATATCCGACTTTAAATTTCAACTAATTGAAAGTATTTTATAATTTTATAATCTCAAATACCAATTTGAGAGTCAGTAAATACATATTTTAAGATTATACTGTTTATGTTTTAGCATCCCCTTTTACTTTCAATATAATTCTGATGTGTGGGGCGCCTGGGTGGCTTAGTCGGTTAAGCGTCCGACTTTCGCTTAGGTCATGATCTCGCGGTTCGTGGGTTCGAGCCCCGCGTCGGGCTCTGTGCTGACTGCCAGCTCAGAGCCTGGAGCCTGTTTCAGTCTGTGACTCCCTCTCTCTCTGACCCTCCCCTGCTCACGCTGTCTCTCTCTCTCTCTACTAGAAATAAATAAAAAACATAAAAAAAGTTTAAAAAAAAAAAATATAATTCTGATGTGGATATAAAATATATGAACATCCTAGCTATAAAGAATAATCTAAACAACATCTTCACTAAAATACTACCATGGAATATTTGTATCATCTTTTAAAGATAAGAAAGCTATAATTTATAAAAAATAAGTAATTTGCTCAAAGTTACAAGTCTGATGGAAGTAAAAGTCTGTCTGAATTTATAGGTTGTCCATTCTAGGATGTAGAAGTAATATTGATGAATTTATATTTCTCAAGAGTGCAGTGCGTAGAGACAGAAAAAGCAAAATTCATATAAAAAGCTGACTTTTTTTTTTTTCTTATTTGATCTAAAGGACTCCTTTTAGAGAGTCTTTGCTGTTTCTGAAATATGGCTGCTGGATAGGTTACCAGTGTTTGGCAGTTCTCTTTCAAGCTTCTTGGGGTTATGCCAAAGGGACAGCGTCTCATGGGAATTCGCTCTGAATTCTCATCCAAATGAACACCTGCTGTCATTGTTTCTTATCAGTCCTGTAGTTAGCAAATGCCAACTCCCTCTTTGTGGTGAAAGCCATTCAGCACATGGTAAAGGCATGCCAGTGTTCCTCACTAGTTTTTATTTATCCCCGTTTTTACTACGTGATCCGTTGCCCAAGTATCTTGAAGAGAGAGCTAACATTAAATTTGCCCTTGGCTATTTGATGATCTATACATCTAGGAGTTTACTCAGTTACAGTCAAGTCTAGTTAACTGGTCTTCTTTTGATACTCTCTCTCCTTTCTTCTCCTTTCCCCTTTTCTCTCCTTTCCTCTTGCCCTCTCTCTGACCTGTTTATGTTGCTTTGGAAATGAGAGATTTGTTAGTGCAAAAATAATATGCTTGTAAAGCAAATTATACTACACAATCTATTTTTAAAAATCTCGGTTCTCTACGTTAGCAGGAACAAATAATTTACACAGAAGTAAATTCAATGATAGTCTCCCTATGGATAACCAATATTGATCATCCATTCTTAGTACTTGAATCATATTTCTTTGCTTTTTGTTCAGCTGGTCTGCTGGATGTGTGCATTTAATTATAAGGTATTACAAATTGATTTTCAACCAAATTAGGCATAAAATCAAAATAAATGATTTAAAAAAATTAATGATCATGTCCTATAATATACCATGAATAGCCCAGCTTACGTTTTTATCTACAATTTCATACAACATAAGACAATATTCTAAAATAAATTTATGACTTATTAGTAAGAATTGGGGAATAAAAGAAACTCTGTGACTAGATTTGAGAGCTGTTAAACCAATAAAAGCGAACCATCTTGACATTCCTACTTCTTAACAAAGATATCTTAGAATATCAAACCATAGAGGTATTTTGGGTAACTTTTTAGTAAGTGTTTCTATATACACCTGTCTATATCTCTTTGTCCTTTTCTCTTGCAGATTAATTCAATTACTTAATAATTTTTAGAGGATAAAATGTACAGAAAAATTAACAGTGCTATTACAGCTTTATCTTGTAGGGAAAAGGACAGGGCCTGCCATCTGCAGTGGGCTATGGTCCCTCTCTTGTTGTGCCTCATGCTTTGTTATGCATGAGCAAGCACATTAGCCTTTTCATTTCATTCATTAGACTTTTAATCCTTGATTAGTGTTTTCGAGATTCTCTCAAATACACAACTTCTTTATTTTCTTTGTGTTTGCTTTCTCTTTCTTTTTTTTATCTGCACTATGAAACAAAATTAACAGTTAATCACAACAATAGCCTCATTTCTTTTGAGATGACTGGTAAATATATTAGTTTCTCATTGGAGTGATTAATCATGTGTAGATGAAGAATGGGAAAATATCTTCTTTCTTGGAATAACAGGGGCAACTGTTTAAAGTCAGCAAGAACAGTCTGTTTGAAAAGCTTGAATCACAATTTTCTACCAATCTCACATGTTCAGTGTGATTCTGTCTCATAGAAAGTCTGAATGGATTTCCTGAAAGAAAAAACGTCCATTAGGGTTCAGAACTGATACATTTGGGGTCTCAGAGCCTAGTTATAATTGCACCAATTCTCCAAAAGTAATTTTCTTTCTTCAGTGATTTCTTTTTTCCATCAAGCAAGTTATGTGAGAAGGTTGCTCGTGACTGAACAATTAATAGTTACACACGCAAGACACTCTTAGCAAACTTTGAAGTCATGTACTATACTTACCTTTATTAAGTATGCACTTTCACAGTCTCTTTTTACTCATATTTAATCTCAAAGGACTAGTAGAAGAGCTCTACTGTTGCTCCACTTAGGCCATCCTTCTAGCTATGTGTAACAATATTTTCAACTACTTTTCAGTATTTATGTTCATTTACACTATCTTAAACATGTATCAATCATGAAACCAAAAGCAGTTATTAAAGGAGATATATAAATTGAATAGAAATTGGTTTCTAGAAGTCAATATAACAAGTAACCAATGGTAAAATCATGGCATAAATCACACTGGCACTGAATTTTTGTAGATTACTCATTATTGCCTAATTTCAGAATATATTCTTGACAGTGGTATTTTTAAGAAAGAGTTGACTTAAAAATATTACTGATTAATTTTTCTTCTAATCTTTGCACAAGAGAGTAGGATCATAAACTATCTCATTATTCTTTTCCGTTTCTCTACTTAGGATGCTTCCATTGCACACAGATTCCACATCATGAGAGAAAAACATCCAGAAAAATTCAACAGTAGGTAAGATAAAAAATGATAAAATTATAATTAGAGTTACCATTGATGAATTATGTCATAAAAAGGATCATTCTGTGGTATAAAACGTTTTACATATAAAGACTGAATATGGTTGAGTGTATATTGAGACAAAAGTGTAAATGAATTTAATTTTTCTCCATTGGTTTTAATGATACTATAACGAGGAGTGCAGTGGTCATCTGTAGTCCATTCTTATGTGTTAGAAAGAAGTATTTCAAGTATAAGGTAAAAATAATATTTTATGAAGATATATTGGAAATCTGTACATGGCTAAAGATATGATGGATGATTATCCTAAGTCCCAAAGAAAAAAAACATGGGACTCTGATTTGATAACACTGAGTAACTGTATTAAATAGTTACCATTGTAAGGCCTCTCATCTTTGAAATGTCCATCCAGTATTGGATTCAACTAAATGGAGAATAAGCCGGAGAAATATCAATCCTAACATAAACTCCTTTTAAAGATACATTCTTTAAGGAGATAAGCCTTGACAACCAGAATTTATTTTGCTAGTATAGTAATATGCATGTTTCCTTTCCAAATGTAGACAGACTTTTTCTGATACTCAGGGAAATGGGGAAAGCTTTAGTTTTGTATCTTGCCTACTTCTAAATGGAAATAGGGCTGTCTGCACCCCTTTTCCTTGGAAAAATGAGACAGAAGAAATGAATCCTCTTTGCTTCAATTATATACATTTCTATACTGTTCTTTCACAAAATTACAAAATCATAATAATCATTTCTATGTGTATATTTAAGTGATTTATATATTAATATTCAAAGCCCAGGGATCTGTGGTCCCTGTATTTGGCTAGTTTAACAACCCTGGAAATCATAAATCATGATATTATGGTTTGCCATTTCTCTCATAGTTCAGCCAGATATAATTTTTGTTTTAAGGAAAGTAGAATAAGTGTATATATGAATATGTACATGTGCACATAGTGTCTTTGAAGGGATTCACAAAAATACCTTACCTCTGGTTCTTCCTGGAAAATGGAGCTAAATGGTTGGGATGGAAACTAAATTGTTATTGTATACTTTTCTGTGTGAATTTTGTGCCGTGTATATTATAAAATTTTGGAGAAATCTAATTAAAATTTTGTACCTATAAGTTTTCTTTGTGTGTACAACACACAGTTTCATAAGATTTAATTTTATTTCATGAAATATATGCAAATAAATTGATGCAAAAATGGAATTATATTCACTTTATAGTAGCTTTTAACACCTAGTAGATTACCTTGAATTTCCTGGAAATGAACATATTTGTTAATGTACATTAAATCATATCATAAAACCTAACCCATGCTTACTCAAATACCATCCTGTATAACAGTCATGTGTTGATATTCATATATTAAAATAGACTTCAAGCAAAAAAATGAATGCTATTTGAGAATGGAGCATGCAGTGTCCCCATTCAGGAGTTTCACAATTTAAAAACACAGTAAAGACATTAAGAAATATATGGGACAAAAAGTTTGATGATGTTTAAGTCACTTTTGTCCCAAAGTTTTTCAGCAGAGAGAAGGAGAGAGAGAGGGGACAGGGGGAAGAAAAGAGAATTATAAATACACAGAAAGTGTATCAGTATATTTATGTGATACTCAAATTGACATAGTATATATAAGAATGCCAATATTTATGATCCTCTCTTAAGTGTTGGGGGCTAATGAATTCTGTTCTCCAGAATAATTTTAATTCTTCTTAATAAGACTTCTGTGATTCACATATGTCTACTTAATTGTTTATTATCAATTGCAGTGTTAATTTATAACATTCCTCACTGCCCAATATGTCATTAGATACTATTTATAGCAATGTATTGTACACTGCAATGTATTTATAAGGTGTAAAACTACATCTTATTGAAACTTACTTGTAAATTTGAGTCATGGATAAATCTTGCATAATTTAAAGGGAATATTTCATTTGGAACAGTAATAACATGGAAAACACCTTCTAAATTGACACAGGTTACATGTTTCTATTGTGAGTTCAAAGAAGGCCAGGTATATAGTAAATTCTCAGTATATAATCAGCCAACTGTTTTATTTTTTGTTTTGTTTTGTTTTTAAGTTAATAGCTCTAACATTGCATATATTACCAAGTTGTAAGGCACATACATTTCAGTCTATATTTTTACAGATTGTCTTCACTAACAGTTACAAGCTTTTAATAAGCTTTTGGATAACTTGCTAAACTAAAATTTAACTTATTCAGAGTATGAAAATATTCTAAAAATTTTTATGAGTAAGACGTGCTATATATTTTTGCATAAACAATTTCATACTTAAAAGGACAGATTTTCAGATTTCAACTTTGAGACACGTTCAGCCATAGCACTCTTTTGTATTTTGAGGAATTTGCAAATGGATTTTTTAAATACTCATAATAATGGTGTTTCAGATCAGATCTCTTGTCACAATAAATCATATGCCATTAATATTATCCTCTAGCATGCTCACCTTGAAATTCATTTATATTTTAAAGAACTTGATGTTTCTAACATTATCTTAAGGAAATTAATTACCAAAATATATAGTTCTCTCTCTGCTTCTTCTGACAGAAATTGAAAGAACTGAGAAAGATAATGATTTTTCCGGTGCTTAAGAGAGTGCAGGTTGAGAGGTTTATTTCATGTTCTTTTCCAAATTTTTATATAAATCTAAGTTAACTGTTAAAAGGAAGTATGCTGGTTAAATTTCTAGACAAACTCAAACTCAAGACGTTGTTCAAACTTAATATATGTGTGTATATATATATTATTTTAGACTCAAATAATCTTTAGGGTATTGAGGCAACTATTATTTAAAACCATTATTATACATATTAGTGTTTAAAATATTAACTTGACTTATTAATAATCACATTTGTGTTCTTACAATTCATATACATTACTGATTCTCCGGATTTTATTGAGAATAGAGCATGTTATTGCTTCTTGGCCTTTTGGCTTAGATCAACTATAGACTGGAGCAATATAAGTTCTTTAAAAATGACATTAATAATTGTATGTTGACATTATTTAAAATATGCATTCATTAAAATGATAATTATTAATGGTTATAATAATTTTGAAAAGAATGAAAACTATTTGATTCCATGAGTAAAATCTTGCAACACTGACAAGGTCTTACAAGTAATATGTAAAATGGAACCAGCTATAGAAAAAATATTGGTGATCTTACAGAGATTTATTAATATTTTAGTTATTGCTTGTGACAGCTTGTTTCAAAAAACTAATTCCTTTAGCATCACTTGATACCATTTGCCAGCAAACACTGATGGCCAGCAATACTCCACAAAGATACTAGTTCACTAAGTCTACAAGCACTTATTAGGAAGAATCTGGTCTCTAATGCACTGAATTAGACAAAGATTGTTTTTTCAGTCTCCTGTTCAGATGAATATACTTCATTCCTGTTTTGCCTTCTGCTTTTTATGAAGAAATCTACAACTAGAAAACTGAAATTTGTGTGTGAATTTAAAGCTGTTTAACTCATAATCTATTTAGTAGTATTAGATATGTCAAAGGGTTTTACCGGCCAAATGTCTGAAGAAGTGATGGAATGATAGTGACAAGTTGGTACACCAGACTTCTACTTTATCACTTTATTAATATGCTCTAATGTAAAAAAGAAGCTAAATACTCTAAATTACCCAAGAAATTAATAGCATACAGAAACATAGAACATGTGCATATGACTTTAAAATCACACTAATTCTGTGGAGTGATGCTTGATTTTTTTTTTCCTCCCTAAGAGTAGGCTTGGTGAGATCCTGGAATAAGACTCTTTCTGGGACTTTAATATCATAAAAACATGGAACATAATGATCATTTAGTAGATATTTGCTAAATTTGTTTACTAAATTATTAATGAGTCTATATTTGTGTTTCAAATACCTACTTAACTTTTACAGTTTTCCCTTCTTATAGTGCAAAAAAATATAATAGATAAAACAGGATTGAAATATGCCTAGAATGAGTCTTCATTCTAAACAACTGTTCTTTCAGGTATTAATGCCTTTTAGTTTTTTCAGTATAGTAATCATGTACTTAATCTCCAAAGCCCCCAACAATGTTAATAAGCAAAAATTCTTCAATAGAATCTCTGAGTACTGTGGATGTCTTGCTAATGAATAATACAAGCTGTCTTATAGATTTGTTTGGCACATCTTATCGCCAACATTATAGGTCAGCAATATGTAATTATCAACCAATTATTAATATTTACCTCATGATAGTAAACTAGAGACTAAAAAATCCCTTTTACCTCTCTCTCTGTCTCTAATTTTGTAAGTTGCAAATCATTTGATATTAAGCTAAAGACAATAAAATCAATTTTGTATAATTTATAACACGAAGAGTTAACTTACTGAATCACATTTTTTATTGGTCAAAATCGCTCATGAAATATTTTAATTGACCTTGAAGTACCAAATTTTTATGCCTGTATTTTTTATTTTAAACTGTGTAATTATATTTCCATATATTCCATACTCCATTATATGTGAGATATTACAATGTCCAAGTTAAAGAAATGAAACTGATGGATCTTTTTTTTTTTCTTTAAACTTTCCACCTTGGTGTTGCAGAGACAAAGAAGACAAACAAGAATAAATACATAAAATTATTGATTGTTATCTAGACAGAAAAGATCCAGCTCAAGTTCTAGAATCAAATGTAGATTTAGGAACAAAATAATGTTTTAGGGCGCCTGGGTGGCTTAGTCGGTTGGGCATCCAACTTTGGCTCAGGTCATGTTCTGACAGTCTGTGGGTTCGAGCTCCGCGTCGGTCTCGGTGATGACAGCTCAGAGCCTAGAGCCTGCTTTCGACTCTGTCTCCCTCTCTCTCTGCCCCTCCCTCACTCACCTGCTTATTAGCTTGCTAGCTCTCTCTCTCTCAAATAAACATTAAAAAAATTATGAGTAAAACAATGTTTCAGTAGTGATGGCCAAAGGCTATATAAT